TACTTTCATACTGATAGGCTGCACTTTACCATCAATCTTCCTGAGTTTGCTATGCATAGCCTTCTATTATATCCTGCTGGTGAGCTTTCATAAAAATACACTACACCTGCAGGATATACTAGAAGTCTAGGGCAAAGTGCAACTAACCCAGGAAAGTTGCATATAAACTACAGCACATCAGTGTAAAAAAAACAGCCTTTATAAGGGGACTTTTAAGAGTAAAGGTTCATTTACATTTGCAGTTTGGGGAGTTACCCCCATTGTTAAGATGCATTTTTACCAATTTAACCACACCCCCATTTATCTGCAGTGGCCAGGGGGTGTACACAGATGCAGACGTTATATGCCCAATCAGTCATGTAACCTTTATGCAGTATAGCAAACAAGGTGTTAAAGCAGGCAGCATTGCATTCTCACCACCTACTTTAACCCCTTGGACCCCACAGAAGCATGCAGTGGAGGGTGCTTGCAGCATGGCCCCATTTACTTGAACAGGTCATGCATGGCAGGTAGGTAGCAACAGGGTATTTAATGCCTGCTGCCTTAAAGCTAATAAAAATAGGTGTTTGCTTTTTGAGCCACAAGCTCTCAGGTGTGAATGGGGCCTTAAGTAGACCTGCTGGCCCTTTTTTTTTGCAGGTATAAAATCCAGCAATAGCCTCACCCTGCACATGCTCAGTTTCTTTTTAGACACTGATGAATTTATAGAGGTTGATCTTGTTGACTGCTTAACTACTTGCCCTCTAGTGGATTTACCCCCTTTTCTGACCAGGTCATTTTTTACATTACTTTGACAATTGCGTAGTCATGCACTGCCACACCCAGATGAGTTACATTTTTTTTTTCCCCCACAAATTGAGCTTTTGGTGGTATTTGATCACCTCAGTTTTTTCTTATAGCGCAAAAAAGAAAAATGCAGACAATTTAGAAACACTAAAGATGTCCAGTAAAAAAAAAAAAAAAAAAAAAAAAAAAAAAAATTTAAAAAAGTCAAATTTAGGTCAAAATGTATTCTGCTACATGTCTTTGCTTACATGTAAAGTGTAGATCACCATTTGTAACAAACTTTCACATAACAATTTAGATACTGGGATTTTTTTTCCTACTAGTAATGGCAGCAATCAGCAACTTCTAACTGTACTGCAGGGAGCATTCTGACACTGGGGAGGGAGAAAGTGTCACTGACATCCCCAGTGCTTAAAACAGCACTGACACTGTACTAAGACAGTGGACAGGAAGGGGTTAATGTGAGGGGTGATCAAAGGGTAACTAGGGTGTATTTTACTAGGGGGTGGGCGGTGTGTGCTTCACTGTAAGCACACTGATCGGGATGGCTGTGCATAGCAGTGTGCCCAAGCTGACAGGGAGGAAGACTGTTTGTAAATAAACTGTCTCCCTCCCCATCGGTAATCACCGGTCAGGATCCAGCGATTGACATCCATAGCCATGACTGGCAGTGTGGTTCGACTGACACGCCTTCTACCCAGAAATGCAAAATAATGTGTATGTACATATACCTGTGCACAAAATCACATGTATATACACGTGACTGCATTTCTGGGTATGGCACGCGTGAGCCCTACCCATGCAGCCATAGATGTCAATCACTGGGTCCCAGCCGGTAATTACCCCCCTGATGATTACCCATGCATCTCTGACAGGGAGGAAGATTGTTTTGTTTACAATCTTCCTGTGTTAGCTCGAGCACACTGCTCTGGATGGCTGTGCACAGTACAGCCATCCTAATCAGTAAGCTTACAGTGAAGAACACACAGCACACAGTTAACCCTTTGATTGGCCCTCACATTAACCCCTTCCTGCCCAGTGCTTTTTAGCACTGATCACTGTATTTGTGTCACTGGAGATGTGAGTGATACCAAGTTAGTTCCCCCCAGTGTTAAAATGTCTGCCGCAGTCCCGCTATAAGTTGCTGATCACTGCCATTACTAGTAGAAAAAAAAAATCCCATTATCTATACCGCCATAACTTTCATGTAAACCAATTTACACTTTTTTAGCAAAGACAGCAGAATACATTTGACTAAAGTTAATTTAAATTTCATTGGACATGTTTAATAGCAAAGTCCAAAATATACTTTTTTCCCTCAAAATGGTTAGATTTTTGCTTATTCTGCATAAAAAATTAAAAAAAAAACTGCACATCAATCAAATACCACTGAAAGAAAGCTCAATTCATGGGAAAAAGAAAAATTTCATTTGGGTGCAGCATTGCATGACTGTGCAATTGTCAAAGTAATGCAGTGCCATAATGCAAAAAATGGCCTAGTCATGAAGGGGGAGGTAAATGCTCAGGTGGGCAAGTGGTTAAGATTTAATGCAGCTCTGGGCTTCAACAAAATGGCAGCCCCTGGCAAGAAGCAGAAGGCAATTTACAGAACACTAATTTTGGGAGCATAACATGGAATGTGTTTTTTTTTTTTTTTAATCAAGTTATGGGTAAAGTTCCAATTTAAAGCTAAAACATTCCTGCATTAGTTTTCCCCTAGTAATTCTGCATTGTGTATTCACTCATTCCTCCATTGATTGTTCATGGCCATTACATGGGGGAGAGGTGTGTGATGAGACCAGTAGTATAAAGCCTTTGTGCCCTCTTCACAATAAAAAGGTACAAGAATATTTCTAACAAGTAATAGGACTTGTTTCTAGGCTAAGGTACACTTTTCTATTTGGCAGGATTATTGGTTTAAAATTTTGCCTTTAAAAAAAAATTGTTTGATCTTGCTTTTGATTTCTTAGCAAACAACCAAATATATATAGATCTAGCGCAATATTTAATTCATAGAGCCCTGCCAAGTGCCCATCAATAATGCAGATATCTGGATTAGATACCCATTTCAGAACAGCACCAGAACTCATTTTGTAGATTTTCGACTTCATGTGAAGCTTCATTTTATTTGAGTTGGCACATTGTAGATACATTAGCTAGAACAGATGAGGGTTAGTAAGGATCAACATTAATGTGGTTGGATAAGTAGATAAAATGTGCTTTACGGACAGTTTGGGCCAAATGTGAAGTAGTTATGGGTATGCAACACTTAAACCAAGCCTGTGGCAGTGACCAACACCTTTTGTACACAGAATATGGTTTTCAGCTGCCAAGAGCATTAATGTCCAGCTTGATCGCTGCGTTAGAACACAAATCGCCATCCTACCTCTTAGCCATCATGTTCTGATCAGTTCCCAGAGCACTCATGCTTACCCACTCTTGCTTCAATACTGCCAAAAATTGATACTGAACCTAATATAGTGGTCAAAGTATATGTAAACCCTTAACAATGACCTCTTACTTGCTCTGCATGTTTGGTCAGCAACTCAAAGCACCAATACATAATATGGCGTGTTTTCTTAAGTTGTATTTTTGCCACATTTTATGTAAATTTAATCTAAACATTTGACAGTCACCAGTGTAGTACAGTGGCAGTGATCAGGGGCACTGACTGGTGACAGAATGCAAAAAAAACTTTACATTTTCTGTTACATTGTTTTTTTAGCCACTTTTACTGGAAGATTTAAGTCCTTCATGACCAGGCCATTTTTGCTATATGGCACTATGTAGTGTTGCATGACTGCAAAATGTCACATTTGTTTAATACAAAGAGCTCTTTTGGTGGCATTTGATCACCACCGTGGTTTTTGGCATTCTAAATAAAAAAACAAACAAACTGAAAATTCAGAATTTTACTACAAAGCTTATCCCATAAAAAGTCTTAAATTTAGTCTGCTACATGTCACAAGTACAGACCAGCTTTATTAGTATTATACAGGATTTACTATTATGTTGATATCTTTATAAAGTGACCTTTGTCTTGCCCACAGAGGCACTATAACATTCACTTCTTCCTCCTATCAGTATCTGCTCCCAGAACAGATGGGAGCAAGGGAAAGGTTAGTAAATTGAAAGGGCCAGCACTTCTGGGTATAGGTGAACATGCACCTTACTGCCCTTCTTCATGTGACAGGGCTGGCTGACAGTCTTATGTGCATACATCAGTATTCCAGTAAAGAAAGAAAATACATTTTTGGGTTTTGGACACTTTATTGGTGGCTTTCAAAGTCAAATTTTCACTGTTAAAGTTTAGTACATTAGGCCCCCCCAGTGACAAATAAAAGCCTACTGACAAGTTTAGCACATTCCCACGAAGGCAAATGAACAGCACTGTGTCAATCCTCAACTGTTCTTCATGCGTGCAACTTCTAAACTCCAATAGGTCCATTTATAAAGAGTGAAACAACCCTTCTATTGCTCTTCTTGGTTAAAAAGCTATTGGAGTTAGTTCATTACATTTAATGCCTTCCCAATGAAAAATTTTCCCCTTGAACTCTGGTTGCTCTAGCCAGAGCAAAATAATTCCCCTCATGAGGAAATGTCCCAAAAGTGGTTAAATGCAAGTTTGCAGTCACTGAAATTTTCCTCCCTCTCCAGTTATTCTTGCCATTTCGTGCAACAGCAAAAAAAAAAAAAAAAAAAAAAGCCCTCAAAATCTGTCCATAGGAAGGACAGGTCTTATTTTAATAGCCAGGTTATAACCGCTGCATTACCCCCCTCCCGCACCCCAGAAGCTCATTTGGCAGGGGACAGGCCTAGAAAACTAAAAATATATTCATTCTGCAAAGGAAGAATCCTGACTATTTGGTTTAAATAAAATGAATTAAACAAAACATGGTAGCTTGGCAACTGATAGGAAACCATGCGTTTAAAAAAGAAAAATTTTAGCAAGCTTGGGAGCACATTAAAAAGTTACATAATTTGATTTAAGTCATTGTACATAATCTACCCGTCTGGATTAAGCACATTTTTCAAAATAAAGCTTAAGAAAAGTTAGAAAAACTTAATCATGTAACTTTGTGTGAAACAATTCTCTACAGAACAAAAATATGTACAACCTATTCATACAGAAAATATTCTCTCCAGGTTACAACAGTGTGATTTTAAGGGAGGTCCATTCTGTGCCATCCATCACAATTCCAAGAAAAAGCCCTCTAGTTCCAAACATGATGCTTGCAGTGCTCAATAGCCTAAAGATGAGGGAAAAAATCTTATTAGTCAAGAAAAAGAAAGTTGTACTGTTGAGAATGTAGCAGGTTGTATTTCAGACATTTTAGCAATAGGCATTAGGGAAAATCTTTCTAGGAAGACTGACTTTATCTGGTGACAACTGAGTGGGGATTTTCTCTTGTATCTTTTCTCCCTTGCAACAAAGTGACGGTAAATCTCCAAAAGGGGCTTAATCAGCAAATATGGCTAGAGAATGGTTTTAACGCCTGTTGCTAGGTCCGTGTGTCCTATGAACCTGACAGCAGGGGAGGGGGTTTAGACACTCCCAGTGGCTACAGTCAACAGGATGTGTAAATCTAACAAGCAGACTGCCACCTGTCAGATGAAAGCATTGCAGCCCCAGACTTTTCACACCCCCCAGTAACAGGCACCCCCACCATGTATCCCAGGCTCCCCTTGACCATCCATCTGTGGGCCTGAGACAAGCACAGCAGGTGCTGCCCAGTAGGAGGAAGAGAGCTTAGCAAACTCTTAAAATTAAAAAAAAATTGTTCATTAAAAAGCCTCACCCAAGCATATGAAATATGCACACACAAGGGCATATTTACCACAAGGCAAACAAGGCATTTTTCGGGGGGGGGGGGGGGGGGGACATATGCAGCATGGGGACCAGGTGGGATCTGAAAGAGGTTGCGGGCTGTTTGATGATGTATGCACAGCCCGACTCACTCCTGGGGATGTCCGGAGATGTGAAGGTGAGTGTTGCCGGGGGGTGGAGGTGGGTGTTAGTGGAAGGCTCTCGGGTTTGGTGGGGGGAGCAGGGGTGTTGTCACTGTCAGGCTCTCTCCCAGGGGTGGAGGGGGGCTCACGGGTCTGGTGTTGGTCGGTGTCAGGCTCTCTCCGCCGGGGAGCATCTGATTTTGGTGCCTACGGCAGCAAAAAACCTAAATACACCACTGTGCACACGTTGAGGGTGCCTGCGCATTAAAAACAGATTGTGATACACATATGGCCACACACCACAGGGAGCAATATTTTTAGCACCAGACTTCCAAAACGCAAAAATTGATGACCTATAGGGTTCTTGAAAGAGTTGCCTATAGAAAATATATATGGTACTGAAGTTTGTCACAATTTCACAGGCACAGGAAATGTAAGGTTTAACATGTTGGGCATCTATTTACATGGTGTAACCTAGTCATATTTTAGCAAACATTAGGTAATTTACTGTGTTTTTTGTGCCCTAAAAACTAACTTTAGTGTATTTCACTTAAAATTTATATTTCCTAGACCTTTCCAGTAACAAAAAATTGGAACTAAAATTTTAGTCTAGGGTCTCTACTTTCAGAAAATGTTTTGAGGGTTTTATGCAAAAAAAAGTTTAGGCATGTCCAAAAACCGCTCTGGCTGCAAAAGGGTTAAATATAGCAGCCTTTTCTAAGACTATTAACTAGACTACTTCCCCACCGCTATTCAGTCTCTTTACAGATGTCAACTTACATTACAACTTCCTGCAGTTTCCAAGTCTTTGCACCAGTAGCTTGGGCCCCACATACATTTCTCTGATCCTAAAAGGGGTTTCTGGGCACCTGGACACACATTTAGGCCCTGTGTTGGTTTAAAGTATAAAAAAAAGGTTAGACACTTGCACACAGACAGCCATAAAATTAAAACCAAACATTTTACCAGTATGTAGACTACATATGCCTTCATGAGGCTTAGCTGCAAAACTAGACCACTACAGATCCGATGACATTAACCCAAAAGTAATTACATTCCACAGGCTGAATTAACCCTTTTACAAAAGTAAAAACAAATGATTAAATTGGCCCTCCAAAGCCTTGTCAATGTATTAGTATGTGCCACATTAGTACATTATGGCAGGTTACCTGCCAAATGATCCCCTCTAGAGCAGTGTCAGTGCTCCCAGCTGTCACGGGCGCAGCCAATCTACCCTCATGCCGTAGTAACACTAAATGTACAGAGACATGTGCATGCACTTAAAATGGAGTAAAGTTTCAAATCTGAACACTTCGCCTTACCACACAAACTGTGCCTGGATCCATTTTTTGAAGAAGCAATTCCAATATCATAGGCCCATACATGTTTATCAAAGCGTGGCACTGCAAAACACAAGATGTTTTAGATACATATTTGTTGCGGAAACTTATTCATAACTTGTACAAGAATAAACTCAGCCGATGTCTCTATATAAAACTTTGATAAGTACCACCATAACTACTGACCTGTTTCTGCATCAAATGTTTTACTGTTTGCATATGGGGTATAGATACTGCTAATTTATAGACTCCCTTACCTCCAAAGTAGTACTGCACAAACACCTGCAGCTATGCTAAGCTACCCAGGCAGATTCAGTAGGGAAGTAAATCATTTGTGGGTGCATTACGGCACATGACTATGCGCAGGCTCATTCATTATTCAGAGGTAGGCATTTCATTTTTAAAGTTTACCTCTTCATAGAAACCTGTGAGAATAGAAATATGAAGCTGCCATTGTTTTAATCCTGATCTCCATGGAGTAAAGCCCTGCATGCAGCATTTTCTCATAAATTTTTCCAATTCCCACATGGCCACTGAAGGGACTGAGAAAGGGGTAGGAGTATAAAAGCAGAATATGCATTGGCCTAGATTTGTAGGCTCATTTAAACTATATACAGTAGTATAAAGGAAGTCCTCAATGCCATCTACCTGCTGCCACTGGAGTAATGCACAAATTCACAGCAAAAGTACTGAAGCAGTTTGTAATTCCCCAGAGCTCAGCTCATCCTGCATCTCCTCCAGAGCGCCATGGTTTTGTGATCACATTAGAGATGTAAAGGCTGGAAGAATGCTGGGTTACTACTGGAAAAAGGAGCTGGGCCAGTCAAACTTGGATTATAGCATTTTTACTGTGAACTTTGAGAATTACTCCACAGTGCCTGTGGCTAAAGGCCAGGGAGGACTTGTTTTCATGTTCATTTGCTGGCCAATGTGGAAATGCTTGGCCCTCACACCAGGTTCAAATTTAAGGTTCTCTGTAAGGGGAACATGATATTCCCTTTAACCACTATTTGGCTGCCATGAACTAAGGAAATAGCACTGTGTACAGTAAGTTGTATCTGAAGTCAGGGCCAAAGACTGCTTTCCCACCATTATTCAACAACTGAAGAATTTCTATGTATGGAGGAGAATGAGACTATGCTGGGGAAGGGAGAAAGGGAACACTGAGTGCACACTGGGAAGGGGGACATTTTAAAAGAGAAAAGCACAGGCACAGACAGTACTTCATGCCTCAACATTTTAAAAATGCCCACTTCCCCCGCCTTTCCAAAATTAAGTATATGTAAACCTTCACCTTGTAAAACAACCTTCAGTTTAAAAAAAAAACAAAAAAAAAAAAAAGGAAAAAACAAGGTATTTAGGTTTAATACCTATAGCAAATATTTTGCTTTTTTCTAAGTGATATTTATATCCCATCTGTTCTCAGCTGCATAAGCACTGGGGGAAGAAAAACACCATCAAACTGACCTTCCTGGTGAATGGCTGTGAAGGCAGTCATGTCAGGACAAGTCTGATCATTGGAGGAGCAGGCAGGGTTCCCAGAATAGCTAGAGAAGTGACCATGGTCTGTTCTGCTTAGTGTGGTCAGTTTTTAATAGGAAAGCAGAGGGACTGGCAGGGACACCAAGCATTTCACACAAGGGAAGCATACAAGTACATGGTATAGCAGGCACATATCAGAAATATGAAATGTTGGGTTTACATTCTTTAAGCATGGGCAGTCCTGACAGTTGATCTCATTAGCACAGCCACTTGGTGATGGGGTGTGTGAACTGTTAAATTATCCATGCTCCCCTGCCATCCAAAATGGCAACCAAAGCTTTAACATTTCCTAGTATTGGCAAATTAGATTCCCATGAAGGATAATTCTAGATAGTACAAAAATGGGGTTCAGAAGTCACCCTCTCCCCAAAAAAGATACCTGATCTTGCACTGGATCTGGAAGGAAATTGCAGATCTTCTGTAATGCATCCTCAATTTTCTGCTTAGTAGCATTTTGTCCCAGTACACTGTCCAAATACGACATAATCATCTTGCAGACTTCACAGCTTTCAGACTTTAATTTTTCAGAATCGAGTTTTACTGTTTAAAGCACAAGTACAGTGAGAAATGTAGACATTACAAAGTGTAATACAAGTGACAGGTTTCATGCAAAGAACCTACAATCATATTACAAAATGTGTAAAGTTTGTACAATTACTCTATACAGAACTCACCTGAGACTGACCCATAAGGTGGGATGGATTTTCTGTGCTGGTATTACCAATTTGTTTAGTTTTTTTTTTTTTTTTTTTTTTTTTTTTTTTTTAAGATGACCATTACAGTATCTAAAGCAAAAATCCAAGATTTTTTTGTCTCTAGGACATGGGGAATTTCCCCTCGCTTTAGAGACTTTTTCCGTCATATCTATAGAACAGCAAAACATGGAGAACTTTCTAAATGGGGCAAGATGGCAAAAATAATCCCAAAAGGTATTAACTATGTCCTAAGTTATTCAAAATGAGTAGAAAAGTATTTAGATCAAATTTAAGGGCTTGAAATTTAGGAGTACAAAAGTGAAGCACTTTGCTTGTACTGCTTCATGCATCACTGTTCACCCAAATAAAATATAGAGTGCCTGGCAGGTATAAACGCCAACACTCTTTTCTATATAGTTAAAAGACTAGTATCTAACATTTTAAGGGTCAGTTCACCTTCTCAAAACCACCTATGCAGGCAAGGGGCATCTTGCTATAGGTGTAGGCTATTTATGTACCTCCAGGAGCCTGACTAAAACCCAGAACTTACAATCAGCTTGGCCTTGTTTCTAGGACATTAGGACACTCCAGCTGTTACTGCTCTCACCCCCACCATCACAGGAATGAGCTCTCAAACTCCTGTTGTCCACTATCTTGTACATCACAGCATTGCTGAACTCAGAGCTACTGCAAAATAGAAAGCACACATGTGGGGTTTGAATTGGCTGGGAGTGTTTTAGCAACAACCTAGCAACAAGGCAGGAAAGGGTGATGCCAACTCTAGGATTTCAGACAGACTCCAAAAGATACAGTATGTAAATTACCTACATCTATAGCAAAGCCATTTAGGCAAAACTGCAGTGTTTTCATCTAATACTGTGAACGATTGTCCGATTTTCACAGGTCGAAACAGAGGATGGTACTAAAATCGTACAAAAATTCTTGGACAATTTTTGTTGTTGGCTTCTGATCATGTGCAGTCTTTAGTATCTACTTCATACAAAAACCGCAGATATTAACTGCTTCCCGTCCACCCTATAGCAGAAATACTGGTGCAAGGTGGCATGGGTGCACAAAATCACGTATGTAGATGTGATTTTGCAGTTCCGGGTAGGGGGCGTGCAGCTATTCACAGCCGCCAATCACCAGGTCCCAGCCGGTAATTACTCACCGGCGCCCCGTGATTTCCGACGGGGAGGAAGACTTTTGTTTACCAACAGTCATCCTCCCTGTCAGCTCGGGCACACGGCTCTGGATGGCTGTGCACAACCCAGCTGTCCAGAGCAGTGTCCTTACAGTGAAGCACCAACACACTGCCCCCTGGTAAAACACTCCCTGCACATAGTTAACCCTTTGATCACCTCATGTCAACCCCTTCCTGCCCAGTACCATTAGTAGTGTCAGTGCTTATTTTGTAGTACTGATCACTGTATTAGTGTCATTGGGGGATGTCAGTTAAAGTCAGTTCCTCCCAATGTTAGAATGTGCGCCGCAGTCCCGCTATAAGTCGCTGATCGCTGCCATTACTAGTTGGAAAAAAATTTCCATGTAAAACCAATTCATGTGTATCGGGATTTTTTTTTTTTTTTTTTTTTTTTTTTTTAACAATGTAGTAGCAGAACACATTTTAGCCTAAATTTGAGAAAATTAGATTTTTACAGGACATTTAATAGCAAAAAGTCAGTTTCTCAAAATTGTTGGTCTTCATAGGACAAAAAAAATAAACGCACAGGCGATCAAATACCAAACGAAAGCTTGAATTTGTGGGTAAAAAAAAAAAAAAAAAAAAAAAAAAAAAAAAAAAGAAGTGTGGGTGCAGCGTTACATGACCGCGGAATTGTCAGTTAAAGTAACTGAGCGCCGTAACGCAAAAAATGGCCTGGTCTGGAAGGGGGAGTAAATCCTCAGGGCAAGTGGTTAAATGAAAATTGTTCATTTAGTTCACATATGAGAAATATTTTTGGAGTTTTTCCCTTTGGAAAGAAAGTTTGGAAAGCCTGAATCGGATGTCGAAGGTAGTGCACATTCCCATGCCTCCTACGGAATTGTTCTTCCCCTTTTCTGTGTTCTCCACATAACCCTTCAAAAAAAATTGCTGCAACATTTTAAAATAAATACATGCGTGTCAAGTTTGTCCAAAATGGCACTGAAACAGGTGTAATGTTAAAAGGTGAACATTTCCTGTGATGCCAGCCCTGGCAGTGTTGGAAGCAGATCTGGGGCTCTATGGCACAGTACAGTAGACATTCGAGATTGAACAGACCCCTGATGACCACTTCTAGAACCTTTCATTGCACAATACAAATACTCAGTCCCCTTGAAATGGGTAAATTGAAGGGAAAAAATATACCCATATTTGCAACAAAATTTAGCAAATTTTAAAAACTGACAACTGCTGCAGGAGGTGAAAAATCCTCTGCATGCTGTCAGAGGGGGGCTGTTTGGAGGTCCAATTGGCACCATGTTACACCCTTAATATGACTAAAACATTGCCTAAAAAAGTGGAGCCAGCCTTAAACCCTGCCCCCCACAACCTCAAATACCCCTATGACACAAATATAACATTTTTTTTGAGGAACAATTCAAACTATGAATTTTAAAGACTCATCCGTGTACAATTTTGGGGTAGATTTTTATGTTTTGATCTCATCTTTTTACTAAAAAGCGCTTGTGCATCAAGACTAATTTTAAGTATTGTGGAAAATATGTCAAACAACGTAAAAATGTGAAACTACCCTATTCTACAGGCCAGAAAATGTTTTTTTTTTTTGGGGGGGTTAATTTTTTTCCTCAGGCCAAAAACGTGCATTTGTGTGCAAAAAAAAAAAAATTCACCTGGCTGTGAAAGGTTTAGCCATTTTTACTTACCGATTTGTGGTTTTCTTGAACTGCAACACCCCATGGCCATGCAAATAATTCTGGGATTTCCTTCCTCTTCCATAATTGTAATGACCAGATCAGCATATGTATCAATAAAATCTTTACATTTTTTGCTATATTGGGACGGCAAAATATCACAGACTTTATCCAGAGCTTCTTTAATGTGGGCCTATTGAGGGAAAAACATAAGTATGAGCAGACCTATACAAGACAGATGCTTTTACAAACCCTTCCATACTCATATGTACATTTTATACACACCCGTGATCGGTTAGTGTCCAAAAACTTTTCCACATTCTGCACCACCAGCTCACATATTTCACAGAGAGGACCACCATTTGAGGTTTCCGGCTGAGCAACCTAAAAAGACATCAGTTTAGCCTCACAAAGCTAAAGTAAAAAATTGCAACCCCCCCCCCCCCAGCCAAGCACCACACACAGGACTCTGGCTCTGTTCAAAGTCATCCTATATTACACCATCTAAATCCAGTATTGACAGCCTCGCAACCAAATCTCATGAGGTAGTTTAAACATGACAAACACTGGGGATAAGTATTAAACTTTGCAAAGTTTTGAACAGAGTAGGAAATTGGTACTAATTACACTGCCATTACATATTGAACTTCTACTAACCTGCTTTCTTACATACGCAGTTGATGCTTTTGTGATGTGTTTGTATAGCCAATATCTAAGTTTTGGATAGTAAAGGATTAGAACCCCTCAAGTTTTTATTGTAATTTATATCCCTGTTGGGAAGATTCCCTTTGATCAATCCCACCCAGAAAAAAAAGGTGAGGCCCCATTCACATTTGGTGATTTGGGCAAATCTACCCACGATGCCAAATTGCACTGGAATGGTGACAAACCACATGCGTTCGGGTGCCATTCATTTTTGAACACCTAGACACAAAGTGGTTTTGCCATGATTGTTCTGCGATAAATCATGGCAAAACTTGTCGGCCAAAAGAAGTTCCTGCTACTATTTCAGTGAGATATGGAATCATAGCAACTGTGCCCACGATCCCACATCATCATATGTAAATAGGACCTGAGGAAAAATACAAAATTGTCCAGGGTTGGAATTGATTTCACTTTAGCATCAACAGGAAGTGAAGTGATCTATCCAAAAAGCAGAAAAACTGGCAGGCATACCTTCCTTTACTCGAGCCAAAACAAATATTTTGGCTGGTCATCTATGACTGTATAGATTTAGACTGATATTGCACACTCAAAAGTGGTCACTTACTTTTATTGCTGGCTGCAGTTTCATTGCAGGAACAATTACTTTGGCAGGGATCAGGTCCTGACTAAGGGAAGCCTTGGAGCACAGACTGGCATAACAACAGATTTCATTTGCTGTCTAAAAGAAGCACATATATTCCATGTAAAATACATATAAAACCTTTGGCTGTACTTTAATAACTAAACCAAAAAAGTGTATGTTATGTTTTGCATCATCCTTTACCATGCATAGGAACTGCTGCTCTGCGCCTCATCGATGGCAGAGCTTGGTATCCCTTTAATGACAATCACTGGTGTTGGGGTAAACTTACTCAGCTAAGATTATAGAAGCAGCTGTGGTTAAAGAATCCTCTGCACCGGTTTACCCATTTAACTGAAAAGAACCAGAAGCACCCACCATCGGGTAGTCCATTATCCTTCAAGGTCATGAAAGAATGTGGAGGTAGACTACAGACTTTACTTGCCCCAAGTACATCAGGATAAAAATGCCAGATCTGGTAGGTTAGGCCTTTAAAAGCCAAGTCAGCATTAGCAGCTCCCAAATGTGTCCTTAGGCTGGTCATAATACAATTTTCTTTTATATTTACTAAAACCATATAACTGAATCTAACTAAAACCCAACCTAAACACTTTCAATTTGTATGCATTCAGGCAGGCCCTTGCACTACATAGAAGGTAAATCTAAAAGTAAATTGAAGAAAGTATAATGTACGGCCAAGCCTTACACTTAATTGGATTTTTTTTGCCATTGCTTGCACTGACAATCACACACCACTAGATATTATGCATATGAAATCCTGGCATACAGCACAACAGAACAATCTGTCAGTTACGTACAGGTAAGGTTATTGAGAAACTAGAGTACTTCTGCAGTCAATTTAATCAAAATCAATAGTTTTGATTTGTTTCCTAAAACCGTTCTCATACATGAGATGTCTTGTTGAACAGAACTGTCTCAATTGCTTCTGACGCTCAGAGGCTAAGATGGCAGTGTTGGTTTCTGCAAACATTTTCACACCATTTGATTACACACGATTGTTTACAACACTAAGGGTTAAACACCATGCAAAACAAGTTATATCAATGGCAAAATTATAACAAATTGGCAGATACAGATTAGCACTAATGTAAGAATTTGTCTTAATCTCAGCTTGTGTTTAGTCAGTATTGGCTCCAAAGTGCACAGGGAGAATGAATATCTGGCTTGATGCCAACATTTGAAAGCTAAGGGTAACGGCTTTGCCAAATTTAAAGGATAAGCTCCTTTGATTTTTCCTAAATTTCAGCTTCCCTATGTACCAGTATCGCATTAATGTACTTTTGCAGAAATTCAGAAGCTTTCCATTTTTCCTACTCACCTTTGTCAGCATCCAGATGGCTGTCCAAAAGGTTTATCCATTACTTCTGCCTTATTTCCTGCAGAGACTAATTCATGACACAGGAAGGAGTTGACCTCATTAGCACACCCTGCATCATCTACCCTCCTACCTACCACCCACTTCCAGATGCAGGAATATTAAATGAAAAGCAATTAGCGATCACTGTTCTCACTAAATAGACATTTTTCTACCTCAAATTTCATCTTATAGATCATTTATTTGGCATAGTGTGCTGAGTGAACAGATTAGTCTGTGGATAGAGCTGTAGTATTGAAAACAGAACTGTGTTCTGTAAAGTTCACATACTATACAATCATCTCCTTTAGATCTGCCATCAACTAATCTAGGAAAATCTAAAATTAATTTGCACAGAGATTTTACAATCAGATTGCATAGTATATGGCAATCTTTATACAAGTACATAGGAGGGAGTGGACAGACACTCAGCTGTCAAGCCCCATTCCCAAACCTGTGGAGTGTTAACTCACATTTCCACGAGTTTTTTTGGGGGAATTTTGGAACTTTTACTTGTCACACAGGGCAGCTCATCCACTGGAATAGGCTGCCATATGCGCAAAGCCCAAAAAGCTCCAAAACTTCCAAAAAATGGAATGTGGTGCTGGGAGTGTTTGGCTTGTTTTACCCATGACAGAGCAGCCTGTTGATTTCAATGGGCTCTGCGACATGTGGCAGTTTTTTGGTGTAGCACATTTCTGAAATGCAAGCCAAAGGGTGCATTTTCAGTGCAGTTTGCAATGCATTCAGAAACGCATATAAATGGGAGCCTCATTCTTGTGTAAATACAGATTTAACTTTCAGGCCCATCTAGCGTACTGGGAGAGTTTGGCCCATCTTACCCATGACAGAGCAGCCTGTTGATTTCAATGGGCTCTGCTGCATGTGGCTCATGGAACATGGAGCGATGTGGTTTGCGCATTTACCACTCGTTTTCTCACATGGAAAATGTGTTTTTGTGTGCCATTAACGGCACCAAAAGTGCAACTAGATCATTTTAGCTGTATAAAGGTGACCATACACAATGCAATCTGATTATACAATCTCTGGAAATAAGGCAGAAGTAATGGAAAAGCCTTTTTGTACAGCCATCAGGACACTGAAAGGTGGGTAGAAAAAAAAAGGAAACCTTTGAATTTCTGCAAAAGTACATTAATGCTACAAGTTCATAGGGGAGCTGGAATTTAGAAAAAAATGAACAAAAAAGGTGACCACCTCCTTTAAAGGTGTAAAGAAATTTAGTGCAAGAGTCTGGAGTAATTGCCATCCATCTGGTATAGGCACTATAGATTACTTAGTATATGCAAGGAGCCTTGCTTGATAATTGTAGCCTTGAGATTTGCAGCGCAGAAGTCATGAGGCTGAAAATGCTAGTTCTTTGCTCCACAGATCTAAGTCAGATGTTAGTAGTTTAAGCAAAATTACTTTTTTGCACAGCAATAAAAGAAAAAGTCACACCACATACCTGATGCTGAACAGAGAAAAGGGAATAGCACCAAAGAGAAAAAGGTGGATTTCAGAAGGCAAGAAATTACCATTCATCATTCTACAAAATCTGTTATATGAAAAAGTGAACAGTTTATCATTTGCGTTCACTAGTTTGCCAAAGGATGCGGGACTGTGGTGGGGCTGCGGGACTGTGGTGGGGGGCTGCGGGACTGTGGTGTTAAACCTGTAAACCCCATGTACATACATACAGGCAGCACAGTGGCTAAATGGTTAGCACTTCTGCCTGGTAGTACTAGTTTGCATGTTCTCCCTGTGCTTGCGTGGGTTTCCTCTGGGTACTCCCGTTTCCTCCCACGCTCCAAAGACATGCTGGTAGGTGAATTGGCTCCTGTTTAGATTGACCCTAGTGTGTGTATGTATGAATGAGTTAAGGACCTTAGATTGTACGCCCCTTGAGGGTTAGGGACTGATGTGAATCTAATACATACACACATATATAAAGTGCTGCATAAATTGATGGCACTATATTAGTACCTGTAATAAATAAAATATCCCATATTATAAGGAGAAAGCTAGAAGCAGAAAGATAAGGGATGACTAAGCCAACTAAAATTCTTTTACTGCCATGCTTTACTATATAGCCCATTTTGCAAGGCATAGTGCCGAGTAATGTTTGCTAAACTAAAAAAAAAAAAAAATACTAAACGAATGGTCCAGAAGGTGAATGCATAGTGCCCAGTTTTAGTGTAGAGCCCATTTTATAATGTTTGGTGTCAGTCTGTCATTTGTAATAGTTTATCAAATATGAAGTTAACATTGTCTATACTTTTCTTACTAGATACACTATAGCTCTAGCATTGACTATAGGCAAAACTCATTTTGGATAGAGCAAGGGAGGGTTTACTAATTTTTCACCCTCTGTGCCATTGTGGAGATTTCCCTTCACTTCTTGTCCCATAGCCAAAAAGGAAGTGAGAATCCCTGCAAACAAAGAAAATTCCTTGGGGACTCACAGGTCACCAGATCTAGTATCCCCATTGGAAGATTTCCCCACTTTTCTGGGAACAATCCAAAATTTGGGATTTTATTTTCACTTTCAATGATGGTAAACAGGACAAATTGAGAGGGCGAGCCTCCCTAAATGGGGTGCAGGCTGCAATAAACACTGACAGGTCCATCACCACTCTATTCAAAACCAAAAACAAGTTTTGCCTTTAGTTATACTTTAAAATCAGGTTATGAAATTACATTTTCCTTGCTGAATAGTATCAAGGCTCAGCAGCTCCATTCTATGAGAACACAAGGGGCAGATAATTCGCACCTGCCAAATGTCCTAATCTCTAGACCAGTACAATTGGGTAGAAAAACCGTATCACATTGTATGACACTGTCAAGGACAACTTGAAAATCCTAAATTGCCAAAGTGGCTTGTGATACTTGCCACAAGGAATGTGCAGGAAGGCATTTTTTCTGCTCTGTGGCCTAAAGCTGGCTACACATACTTCTTATGTACAATTTCCTTTTGATTTACCAAAACCATATAATAGATCAAACTTGAACACTTCCAAATTGTATGCAATCAGGCAGAGGCTACCAAGTTGGTCAATTTTAAGTAAATTGAACAGGAAAGTTTTATATGTAGCCACCTTTAGACTCCAGCTTGCTTGTGATCCTGCATGTCATTACCAATATAGCAAAAACAATTGGGGAACCAAGATATTTTCCAATAATTTTAGGGGACTCAGTGATAGATAGAAGCAGGTATACGCAAATCGTATTGCCTGATGCCCGGGACATGCAGTTCTGGGTACAGGGCAGGTGTGTTTCTGCAAATGCAAAAAAACTCCTCCCACTAGCTTCCAATGCAAAAAAACTCCTCCCACTAACTTCCAATGCAAAAAAACTCCTCCCACTAACTTCCAATGCAAAAAAACTCCTCCCACTAACTTCCAATGCAAAAAAACTCCTCCCACTAACTTCCAATGCAAAAAAACTCCTCCCACTAACTTCCAATGCAAAAAAACTCCTCCCACTAACTTCCAATGCAAAAAAACTCCTCCCACTAACTTCCAATGCAAAAAAACTCCTCCCACTAACTTCCAATGCAAAAAAACTCCTCCCACTAACTTCCAATGCAAAAAAACTCCTCCCACTAACTTCCAATGCAAAAAAAACTCCTCCCACTAACTTCCAATGCAAAAAAACTCCTCCCACTAACTTCCAATGCAAAAAACTCCTCCCACTAACTTCCAATGCAAAAAACTCCTCCCACTAACTTCCAATGCAAAAAACTCCTCACACTAACTTCCAATGCAAAAAACTCCTCCCACTTGCAAGGAGGGAAACCAAAACATTTTGGAAACAGCTCATGTGAACACAGGATTGTGATTCCAATCCAGTCCCATTAAAGTCTATGGAGATGAAAATTTGCACTGCACTAAACTTGCACAGGACCTTTTAACTGGACCAGAATTGCACCGCATAGATTTGAACGGCCTTCATTGAAAACAATGCTTTTTCAGATGGCATGCGAATCTATGGCTTTTGGATCACACCTGAGATGCATAGAATTTAAGTGTTAATGGGGGCTTTCGGTTTACACTGATGCAAATCTGATGTGGATCAGAGTGTACGGAGATTCTCAAGGCATCTAAAAACAGTTTTCTATGAAGGATTCTCAGTGGTGTGATTTTGATCAGGTTAAAAAAAATTGGCCCTGTGCAAGTTTGAAGTGATGTGTTCCAAACTCACAGAAGATATCTGTTCACAATTGATGAGATTCATAACCAGTTTTACATTAGAGTGGTTGGAAGGCAGTTTTGCATAGAAGTGGAAGGCAGATTTGTTGAGAGAAGGGGATAGACTACATATCTAGCATATGAAGGCAGACTGAAAAATCAAAGCAGTAGTAAATTTGCATTGAACAAAAAGGTTCTTCACAATCTGATCCCTGAATCATATCAGAATTGCATCTGAACCACCTTCGACAATCGGACTGGCTCCATTCAAACCTGGGCATTTTGGGATTGTGGCAAAAATCACGATTCTGCCTGCGATCTCAAAAATGCACTGCAATCGCAAAATGCAGGTTCAGGTGCCATCATTTTCAATGACATCTAAAAACGCAGTGCGGTTTCACCACAATTGCTGTGCGATTTATAGCACGGCATTTGCAACAAACTGCATCTCGTAAAGCTTGTTGCTCAAAAATGAGCAGGAGCTTCTTTTGGGCAACAAGCTTCATGTGATGCTATTTGCCACGCAAACCTAGGAAAACTGCACATTTTAAGTGCCATTGAAAATAATGGCACCAGAACCTGCGCATTGCGATAGTGTTTGAGATTCTGCCCCAAAACGTCCAGGTGTGAATGGAGCCTCATGGAGCAGACAATGGAGCTTGATTTGGCTGCTAAGCGTACACTTGTACTGTGCACACAAGGGCTTCCATGTGTGAGGGTAAACTGAAGGAATAAAGTTGATCTCTCATTGGAGAGCCCCACACTCCTTTCTGGATGAGCACCCAATCGGTGCTCACACTGTAAGGTCTCTCCCCACCCTGCTTGTCCCTGAAGTGGTGCAGGAGACAGGCAGGGAGGCAAGAATGAGATAAACAGCACAATGTTAAAACCTTACTTAGTTTCCTTTGCTTGTAGCGGGGACCACACTGCCAGAGGTTAAATGTTCGTTTATGCCTAGGAGACTGGGTGCAGGGACTGGTCTAGCAGCAGAGGATATGGGTAAATAACTGCTGTACCCAAAGACTAAGGTCCTTTGACATCAAGGTGGAGGAGGGGACCATAGTCTTGCAAATGGGGCAAGTACACTGATGACTGTCCCACTGCTGGAGTAGAGGATCAGGTAAGTAAAGATGCTTTTACAGTCCTAGACCAAGTGAGCAGTTAACACTTGCAGTGCAGGGCCAGTTCCACTGCAAGGAAAGGTTTAGTTTTTCCCCAGAGTTCAGCTTTAATTAGCACTGATATGGCCAAACAAAAAATAAAAATCAAGAAAAGCATTAGCTGTACAAAAAAGTGTCACAAATTTTACTATGCATATTAACACATTTTAGCTTACCAATTGTATCGCCATTTGCAAAACCAGTTCAGCATATTGATTAACGTAGGTCTTGCACTATAAATAAACAATGAACAGATTAGTGTGGATTATACATACTGCATTAGAAAAGAAAATAGTATGTATAACCTGACAGTGCATTTTGGAAGTGTAAACTGTTGACCAGGGGCGGACTGACAACTCATGGGGCCCCCGGGCAATAGGGGGATCATGGGGCCCCTGTGTCCTTGCCCAAACTCAAAAGCCTATGAGAAAAAAAAAAAAAAAAAAAAAAAAAAAAAAAAAAAAAGTACCAGGGGCATCTCATGGGTCCCCCTACTGACCCCGGGCCCTCAGGCAGTGCCCGAGATTCCAAATGGTCAGTCCGCCCCTGCTGTTGACCGAGGGCCGGTTCACACCAAGAACACAGTGGGCATCCCAGTGTGGTACGTTTTGACAGCTCATTCATTTGTATAAAAACTGCACCAGACAGCAGGGAAAAAAAATGCACTGCACCAAACCACACTTGGTACTGCAGTACCATGCGATCTGGTGTCTGCAAACATTGATCTGTGTTTGGGGTCCCATTAATACATTAACATCTGCATGCAGATCACAAAGGCAGTGCGATCACCTGTGGTGTGGGTAAAGCACCTTTCCCACATCACCTTCTGTGTGAACAGGGCCAGATTACAAGTGTAATTTTTATCTCCGTTTAGTAATCAGGAATACTGCCCACATACTTCAGCTAATCTCACACAAATGTTGCTGCCTATCTAGCAATATAAATTTTTAATTAAAAAACAAAACATTTGTGCAACCAATCGTGTGCATCTGGAGATCAGATGTAAATTTTTGGTTGCTATACACAGCAAGTGGCATCCTGGTATATCAAAGTTCACAGGAGAAAATGGGGCAAGTGAATGGTAATCACACATTCAGAACTTTGTGAAATTACAAGTTGAAATAGCACATAGGTAAATGGATAATCTTTACTCAGCACTAATGGACAGTTGCCTCATACACCACATACTTCAATTAAATTGCATTAGTCTACTTTATAGACTGCCATGGCCAGACTACTGCAAATTGAAAAGTTTTAGTACTAAGGAATAACAGCACAGAATGAGGGCGCTGCTTTTTTACATTTTCTAACAAATGCCACAGCAGAGGAAACTGTACATTATCCTTTACATTTAACAATCCTTGAACTACTTTAGCTTGTAACATGATGGAATTTTAACAGTACTTCAGATACAAAACGGTTTTTACCATTTCAGAAAGTCCACCACCAAGCTGTTCACATTCTTTCAGGAAATTCTCAATCAACATTTTGGAGAAAGAAGAGTTGCTTTTGAGTTGGTCTTGCATGTCACCAACAAGCTGAAGACAGTCCTTGCAGATATCATTGTTCTAATGAAAAAAAAAAAAGTAGTCATGTTACAATACAACATACATTATATTCCTGCATGCAGGACTTTAGGTGTACTTTCAGAAACCTCACCAAACCATCCCATTCAATAGAAATCTATGCCACAGTGCAGGTAAAATGCACAAAACCCACAGGTGCACTGCTCGGTACGGAAAATACACATTGCACTGTGAAGCGCCCTAAAGCACGCACCTTCAAAAATTCAGCAGCATATCTGTATACTCTCCCCCCTATAATCCCAAATCTGATTCCCCATGATATCTTTTTGTTCACAATCTCTACACCTACACTAGAAATCATTGCTTCACCATGTTTTCTGCAATTCAAATAGACACAAATGTTGCTTCGCAATCAAGAACACATTGTTTGCATGTTAAATGACAGAAGAGTTCTGCTTTAAAGTTAAACTCTTGCAGAAGGACAGATCTAGTATTTATATTTTACCTTAGGTGTTAGATCAGTCTTCTCTTGGGGTTTAAGAAGAATGGGGACATTGGCCAAGAAAGGAGACACCATCTTGGACAAGTCCACATCTGGAATCTCATTCGTTGTAAGCTGAACAGATTTCAGGTTTGCCAAGTATTGCTGTAAAGATTTGCATAGACCAATAGCACAACAAGCCACACTCGGGTTGCTCTGTAGGAAAAGAAATTACTTTATGTAAAATGGTCTAGATTAAGCCATAAACTGCAACACAAAACAGACAGTCACTGTAAAAAATGTTAATTACACCCCATAAAAAGATTGTTAAACTCATCTGAACATTAGAACTTCAAACCGTGCTTACAGATATTGAAACAAAATGTGCCCTTTTTTCATTTATTCAGAAAAAAGTTATTAGCTGAAATGTACAGTGGAAAAAAAAAAAAAAAAGTACAGATCTGGCCTCAGAGGCTGGTATTGCCTCCTCTGGCCTTAAGGGCAAGGTCCATTCCACATGTCAGTACTTCCTGGGCAATTCAGCGTCAACATTCCATTGTTGGAAGTTTGCATGGTTGCTACCTGGTCTCCTATTCACGTGTTTACCAGGTACATGTTGACACCTCTGCAAACAGGAGTTTTGGGTAGAAGGTCTTACAGGTGGCTCTGTAGTACTGTTGCCATGTTCGGTTTCTGTTTTGAGCTTGTTTCTCACCCATCATGTTCAGGGGTTTGGGACACCCTAATGGGCTTGCATATAGGATGCCGTGTCTAGTGATGTACAATTAGGTAGGATTGGTGGTTTACCCATAGAAAACTTCACACAGGGATCCCTCCCTTTTGTTCATTTTCCTCATTGCTTGCTTAAAAAAAAAAAAAAAAAACACTTAAGCTCTGCTAGGAATTATGCCTAGGTGGAGAAACATGCCTTTTATGGCCAGTGTTCATTCACCTGAAGATGACAGCATAATACAGTGATCATGAATATTAAGACGTCCATGCCCTGTGATGTATGATTAAGAAAAACATTTTTGGTTCAACTTTCAGACAAAGCCTCACATGCTCAGGCACCTTTTATAAAACCGAATTTACAGTTGACTGACTGCAAGATGCCCTGGCCCTGAAGCAACACCAAACATTTTTACTACAATGCTTCACAGTTCATAAGAGGTCCTCTTATACTGTGGTTTGCACTAAACATGTGCACGATTCCTGTGATCCCATCTGTCCACAGCACATTGTTCTAGAAGGCATGTGTGTAAAGAAACTAGTCTTGCTCGAATTTTTTCAGACAGCAAAGTAAGAAAAACACAGCAAAGTTGACAAATAGCTCCCATGCAGGTTGAATTGATGCAAATTTCTGACTAAATTCAAGCACTTTCCTCAACTGTTGCACAAGTTACCAGCCAACCTCTTAATTAAATTTTAGTGTTGGAGGCTTTTTAGCATTAAACAGCTCTTTGGATGAATTTACTGGGCCGGCTTGTCCTGGTCAAATTAGCAGATTGAGATCTATCACTTGTAGATTTTCCTGACATTGTAATGCTTGCCTTAAAATTTGGTGATCTTTAAAACCCTTGCCGGACTGACATTCACAGCCTTCATTGAGGGCCTTTGAGAGCTCAATTGATACAAGTGGTGTCACCATGCCATGATCAATATCCAAGAAAACCCCCATCCCTAAAACAGGTTCCACTTGCATACTTCCTAATTAGGTTCTCATCACTGGCACCTAATCTGAATGCCAGATTCTAATGCAATGGAGTTGTGGAAGTGGTGGTACAGGTAGGGGGGTACTTTTTCCATAGGACTAATCTGTATTTTTGTTTAGATTGCGAAAGAATACATCATGTCAATTATTTGTCATTAGAACATGTCCACAGCTGCAGACATCATCCAGGTACCATTTTTCCAACGTTTGACTCTTTTGTAATCGCAATTAGAGCAGCTTAGTCACTTGATTGCCATTACAAGGGGACATGTCCCCCTCCCCCAGTGCTTTAATGGGCTGTCCCGTCCCACTGAGACACCCAACCAGCTAGCGCTTCTGCCAGCTGATCATAAAGCCAAACAAAATAGAACAGCTCCATTCAACTGTGATATAGGAAACCAGAAGCAATGACCTTACACCACTTTCAGGTTACCCAGATGTAAACAGCGCTATTTTTAAAAAAGAAAAGCATTTGATCACCAATCTTGGTGTGCGCAAATACTTCGAAGGGTAGAGGAGGGCTCTGGAGGTCTTGACCCCAGATCTCTCAATATAAAGAGTACCTGTCACATGCTTATTGCTTGTGACAGCAATAAGCTTGACCTAAAAAATTTAAAGCAACGGTGTAAAACGAAAAAAAAAAAAAAAAAAAAATACACATGTATAAAGCCTTATTTTTCCTACCAGGAGCTCTGGTGTTTAGAGGAGCTTGTTCAGAGACCCAGAGGCCATATTTTTGAAATAGAAAAGCAGATCGAAAGCACTCACAAACCAGTATAGTTAAAGCAAAATTGATTTTTTTTTTTTAGTCAGGAAGGGTTGGTATTTTAATCCAGGAATGTGCTCTTATAGTTTCCCGTACTCCTGCCCCTTATGTGGTCATTGGGACAGACAGGAAGTGTGTTAGGACGGGGGGGGGGGGGGGGGGGGGGGGGGGGGGGGGGGGGGGGGGGGGGGGGGGGGTGGGGTGGGGGGGGGGAAACACGATCCTTCAATAGTTCTTAGCCCTTCTCTTTAGAATACTATCAGCATGGCGTACAATATAAAGTAGAAAAAAGCCACAATATAGCTTTTTATCCATAAAAAAACAAACACAAAACTTACAAGTTCTTGCTCAATTATGCCTAGAATCAATGGGTAGTACTCTGCAACCAGTTGCTTGCACTGTGAAATCATTGAAGGATCCTTAAGAAGCTCACAGGCTTTATTAAAAAGATCCAGGGTTTCAGTCTGTAAAAAAAATGATTAAATACATGCCTATTAAGCTCACAATACAAGGTGTAAAACAGATTCAATATACAACTGGAGAGGCATCTGGGATCATCATTACCCATGTACATAAGTATTTTATCTGTCCCCTAGAAGAAAAAAAAAAAAAAAAAACTGCTTTGAGTTTAATCTCACTACCAGGTGCTTCTCAATTTTCTTCATGGTGGAAACCACCAAAAATGTATTTTTTAAAATCCCCCCCCCCCACCTGCTGTCAATTTGAAAGCAATGAGGCCGCTCATCTGCTGATCACAATGCAGTGCTCTACAGGCTCTTTGGGAAAAAAAAAAGATGCACTTTCTGAAAAGAGATGTGCATTTTTCCCCAAAAGGTGAACTTATCCTTTAGGTTTTCTGGGGTACTAGACAGGTTAATTCCAAGAACCTAAGCTTTGCCATTATGCAGTAATATCGCCGCTAATAAAGTATTGCTTCATCTGTCAGATTTCAATGCACAAATATCAACTCAGAAGGGGCAGACTGACAACTCATGGGCCCCTGGGCAATTGATGAAGCCCCCTGTGTCCCTGCCCACACTCAAGCCTCAGCAAGATATCATGGGCAGGTGCAAAGTACTATTAGACCCTCTAAGGCTCTCAAGTGTTATTCCCTATGTAAACACTGCATGCCAATATATATCACTGACATCTGTACATTGAGTGCCACTCCATGCACACATCAGTGTTCTATATAGGGAACAGCACTCAGGGTACACCTATCAGTGTTACATACGGGGAATAGCAGTCTGTGTACAGATAGTGTTATACAACACCAACAACCGTAAACTGATACTCTTTATATAGAACACGTGTACACTGACTGCTATTCCCTATAGAGAACAGTGATGTCTGCACATTGTGCTATTCTCTATATAAAGCACTATCTGAACACTGAGTGGTACTCAGTGTACAGATGTCAGTAATACATACAGGGAAAAGCATTCTGTACAGCTATTAGTGTTATATATAGGGAACACCAAGTGTACAGATATCAGTGTTCTACAACACTGATGTGTACACTGACTGCTATTCCCTATAACAGATCTGTACACTTAGTGAAATCTCTCTCCCCTCTCTCATCTATCTCTATATATCTATATCAGTGCATATAGAAATTAGGGTCGTCAGACATGGGGTCAGGACAGAACACTCAGCCTGAATGGTATATAAACACATTAAGCTGCACCTGGGGGTTACACACTGACCTGCTGCACACATGGTAGGTGTGCAGCAGCTCCAGAGACGACTCCGCTCTCCAATGTACCATTTGCCTGCCACCTCCAGCTCTCCAAGGTAGCACCGACGCCAGAAATGTGGACCCACCCCTTTGCGGAATCCCCTAGGAAAGGTGGCCGGAGTGCCTGCCACTGCCCCATCCACCATCGCTGACCCCTGCCAGTATGAGTCCTCTCCTATAGCTGCATGAACCGCTGGCTGGAATTCCCAATGCACACTGCCACCTTGGAGCTTGCTTAGACCTACTTTCTGCATAGAAACTGTGGGCTCATCCAGGGGGTGGACCAACCTTCTCATGGGGCCCTTTACTGACCCTGGGCAGTGTCTGAATGGTCAGTGCGCCCCTGAAAATCTTGATTTAATTTACTTCCACAGAATACATACCTGAGTAATGTTGTCTTTTAAGAAGTTTGCTACTACGGTAACCACTTCCTTGCAAATTTCACACGGGGCAGAATTCTGGAAAAGAGTTTAGAATTACAATATGACTAAGCACAATTGTTTTCATACCTAGTATAAACCGTGATCCAGCAATGGGTTGCATCATGTGTACACGACAGGTCAAGCTATACAATACCTTACAGCATCAAGAAAGGTAAGCCACAGGCAGATTAAGGCGCCATTAAAAAAGCCTCCAGGTTTGTGACAAGATACTCAAACTGGTATAGTACCTTGTGGTTTAATAAATAACTTGAGTGAGCAAAACAAAAAGTTTAAGGGGTTTCAGGGCTACAACAGTTTTAGGTTTAAATCAAGAAAACCTTTCCCCATAGTGACAGCAAGATCCAGCAAGGGCTTTGATCTGCCAGCAACCAGCTCATTCCAACATGTATACTGAAACACTTTTAAATGCGGCTGAGTAAATTGGTACACCATCTTTATGACATCCAAAAACAGACCATTTGTAAAAGATCAATAAAAGGTTTTACTTTGAATATACTGTGCACATGCCCCATTAGGCATATGTTAATGCACGTGCAAGCACTAGCCAAATAACTAAATATTTTGTTGAAGCTTCAAAACGGGCTTTTGTTCACTTAAAGTGGTTTTTAAATCTAATACAATTCTATGGAAATGCAAATGCTGTTCAAAGCAGGAAAAAGGCACCTGTGAATGAATTCTGAATGACCTCAGAAGCGTCTCAAACTGATGCCATCAACACAAGACCAAAGCCCATTTGCACTTTGTTTTTCCAGACCAGTAACAAAGTACTGAAATCTAAGTTCAGCATAACCAGGCAACTTGCATTTTCAGAATGAACAGCAATGGCAGCTCTCATTTCATGTAAAAGTCTAAAGACACCTGAATAACTTACCATTACTGGTTTGTTCCATACTGTTTGCTGGCAATGAGTAACTGCGCTGCACTGTTTAGCAGTTCGGATATTCACGCACCACACGCCTGGGCCTTTGGCACACTGCTCCGTGCCGAACAAGGGAGTTGCTGTTACTGTAAGATAAAACATACCGTTATAGGTTATACACTACAGTACAGCCGTCAAAGGCAGGGCAGCAATTTACAAAGACCATTTTACTACTGTAGTGTTCACACATTAGAATCCTCATGTGGATGGATGCCAGCACATGAAGATGCACAAGCTCTGAGGAAAGGTTTTCATGGAATATTTAAGATCATTTTCCTTCCAACTGGATTGAAGTGGAAAAATTGGGACCTTGGTATTGGGCACATTGGATTTATTTGAATTTTGGGACATATTTGGGACTGAATTTGATTTGGACACAATTTTTTATTTTATTTTTTTATTTAATTGTATGTATTTTGATTGCATTAATTTTATATGGGATTTATGGGGGATTTATGTGGTTTATCACAAAAAGGATATGTTATATTATATACTTTCTAGGGAGAAAGTATGACTTTTTGGTAAGAGTGGAGGAGAAGGAGGTTATTTGTTTATTGATTGGTATAGGAAGGTAACAGGAGATGTTATGACTGCTACATTTTATCTAAACACATGCAAGCTTTTGCTTAAGCCCTGATTCACACAAGTGCAACTTATGCAATTTGATAGTTCCAAATCACACAAGCTGCACCCTATTGTTGGCAACAGAACATTTAAAACTGGTGCGACAGTCAGATTTTGAAAGGTTCCTGCAGTTTCAGGCACGACTTGCATAAACAACTGTATAAGTAATGTCAGGCAAGTCGCATCTGAAATCGCAATACTGTCAATTTGACATGCTGCATTAAATTTATCGTGGCCATTACACAAAGCATTGTGATCGCAGCATGTGAATAGAACCCTCTGGCTTTATTGTAGGCTTTAGGTTGACACTCAGTAAAACTGCAACTCAACTGTTTTAACAGCAAGCCAGATATACCTAGACTCCATAAGGGCCCTTTCATATTTGTGGTGTCCTCTGAAGAGTGATCCATGTTCAGAAAACTTATCAGAGGGCATCTGAGTGAGGTTATATTGCCAGCTACATTGCCTGATTTAAACCTGTAACGCAACACTACCACACTGCAATCACGTGCTTTGCATGTTGTTGCGGCACGACCACACTAAAACTCAATAGGGAAGTTTGACAGGTTGCCGCTTTTTTGAAATGCTGCAGCTGATGTTAAAAATGCCGAGACACATGTACAGTTCTGTCTGTGCAGTTAGGATTCAGATGGGCAGCCTGGGGACTGTAAAAAGCCACAACTCTGCTGCCTGTTTTTACTGCCCACTGGCACCTGTGTGAAAGCCCCAAAGATGATGAATTTTATTCAATTGTGTTCACTTCCAATACAACGACAACTTAAATGGCTGAACATGACCAAATCTAATCTTTCCCAACTCCAATGAGCCATTGATGTTTAAGCTAGGGATATCCACAATTAAAGCCTTAATACTGAAAGATGTAGCTACTTGACAGCCACGTAATTCGCCATAAATTTTAGGGTCCTGAACATTTCTCAGGAATCCCACCATCAATCCTGAAGTTGCATCTGCAATTTTTTTCTATTCAATTTCCTGAAGGGGTCTAGGCTTTGTGAGCTTCAAGCTACATATTTCCACATCTTCAAATAAACCTGTAAGGTGCAACAATGTGTGCAAACAGACTACATCTGTAAAGAGCATGGAACCGAAATACAGCAGCAAACAATCAGCACCCTCAATTCATGGAAGAATTTAGTCCTATTGAGTTTTGCACATCATGATTTGATAGGGGAGATGTCCTTTATTCTTCCTCCTGTATATAGCTTGAAGTCCTGTGTGGAGGACGCTGGATATTAGGCTTTATAGCAGGACTCCTGAGAGTCGAAACCTGTCATCCACCTGTACACTTGATTCAGTCACAAGCATTTTCTGCATCACCACATGAATTAGGAATTTTAACAATGGGTCCACTGCCAAGTAACTACTATGTCAACGTTCTCTAACCTCACTTCAAAAGTAATAAAGTGCCAAACAGTAACGAGTACTTGAGAGTCTGTACACGTGTACATTTGGGTTTGGATTATTTAAGTACAAGCACTAGACCTTTGCTTGTATTACAGCACAGGCCAGCATGGAGCTCTATGGCAGAAGATCAAACAAGAGAGTCCTTCCCCCTCCCCCTAACAAAAGCAAGAGGATAAACTAACAGATAAAGGCATAGTGCAGAAAACTAAACCTGGCAGCAGTTTTAAACAAAAGGTAAACCGGTTTTAGTTTTGGATAGAGTGCAGATGACTTAGAACACCTATCAGTATTTATTGCTGTGTCCCTGTTAGGGAGAATCACCCTATTTGTCCTGTTGATCATTGAAAGTAAAAATACCACACATCTTGGGTTGTCCCTAGAAAAGTACTTCCAATGGGGATACTAGTTCTGGTGACCTGGGGGTCCCTAAGGAATTCTCTTAATCTGCAGGGATTTCCTGTTTCAGCTATGGAACAGGAAGTGAAGAAAAAAAATCCCTCAATAGGACACAGATGGGAAGATAACTGACTGGTTAGAATCCTCCCTTACTCTATCCTGAATGAACAAGGTTTTGCCTTTAGTTCTAGATTACCACTTCACGACCACCTTATAGCAGAAATACTGCTACAGGGCAGCACAGGTGTGCAACATCACATATATACAAGTGATTTCGCATTTCCGGGTAGGGGGTGCGCATGCACCCTACCTGCGCCGCAATTGGCAGCCACAGCTTTCAATCACCAGGTCCCAGCCGATGATTACTCACCAGCGCCAGGGGATTGCCAAGGATCTCCAACAGGGAGGAGAAACTGTATGTAAACAGTTCTCCCTGTTGGCTCGTGCACACTGCTTTGGATAGCTGTGCACAGCACAGCCATCCAAAACAGTGTGCTTACAGTGAAGCACACGGACAAAGGACAGAGTAAAATAGCACACATTTAACCCTTTGATCAACCTTCATGTTAACCTCTTCCTGCCCAGTGCCATTAGTACAGGGTCAGTCCTTTTTTTAGCACTGATCACAGTATTGATGTCACTGGGGATGTCAGTGCAGAGACAAGTCAGTGTCAGAGTGCCCGTTGCAGTCCTGCTCTAAGTTGCTGATCACCACCATTACTAGTAAAAATATGAAAAAAAGCCTGGTATATGTATATATATATATATATATATATATATATATATATATATATATATATATATATATATATATATATATACACCGCCACTTGTAAACGCTAAAACCAATTTACACATATTGGGATTTTTTTTTTTTTTTTTAGCAAAGACATGTAGTAGAATACATTTTGGCCTAAATTTGACAAATGTTAATTTTTTTTTTTACTGGACAGGTTTAATGGTAAAAAGTCAAAAATATTTTTTTTCTCAAAATGGTCGGTTTTTTTTATAGCACAAAAAATAATGCACAGGCGATCAAATACCACCAAAAGAAAGCCCAATTCTTGGAGAAAAAAACCCACAAATTTAATTTGGGTGCAGTGTTGCATGACCGCGCAATTGTTAACCACTTACCTACCGGGCACTTATACCCCCTTCTTGCCCAGGCCAATTTTCTTTGTTTCTTTTATGAATTTTTGCAAACAGGTAATTTTTCTCCTTCACTGATGTGCGTTGATGAGGCTGCACTGATAGGCAGCACCGATGATCAGTGCTGATCCAACCCCGTACAATTGCCGGATATCGGCAGTACTTTCCTCACACTGGCAGCGTGAGGAAAGCGCAGCCGATAACCGGCATCTGCATTTACCAGTGATCTGATACCACTGTGATTGCCTTTTACCACATCACGTGATCAGCTGTGTACGTAGGACACAGATCACTGGGTGCGTTCTGGGAAAGTGTCATGACGCCCTCCCAGAACTGGCCGGCCGCGGTGAAGCCATCATTCTGCTATCTGCGGTCAGCAAGTGGTTAAAGTAATGCAGCGCCGTAATGCAAAAAATAAAAAAGCTCCTTTCAAAGCTAAAAACAAAAGCCAGCAGCTACAAAAACTGTAGCTGCTGACTTAAACTCACCCGTCTCATGATCCAGCGAGTATAGGCATCAGCACCTTCCCCCCTTACTTACCTGAACCCTCATTCGATGCAGCACTTTGCACATATGCAGCTCTTCTCTCCCCCTCACTTCCATGTCTTTGCTGGGGCCATTGGCTCCCAGCACAGTCAATCAATGCCAGTGAGGGTGAGATGGGGGTGGGTTTCAGGGGGAAGAGGTTGCAGGGCCGAGTACAGCTGTCTGTCAATGGCTTTGGAATGAGTACGCATGAGTGCCCCATGGGGCACTGGACAGAAGAGCCAAGAACCCCAGCGGGGGGCCCAAGAAAAGGAGGTTCCTGGCCACTGTGCAAGTATAGACATGTCATGTTTTTGTAAAGGTCTTTTTTCCCCCCAATCGCTTTTAGGGCCAGTTCACACTACATGCGTTTCAGTTGCTTTTTTCTGCATCCAAAACACACAGAAAATAGGTTACATGGTTGTCATGTCAGTTCACATCACTGCTTGCAGTGACAGTGCATTCCGGTTGCAAAAAAAAAAAAAAGTAGAAAATGCTGCATTTTTCCTGCACAGAACTGTACTGGAATGCAGTAAAACATCAAAAACACTGGAATGCACCAAAACTCACCAACACACGTCCCTATTTGAACTGAAGAAAGAGGGGGAAGTTAACTAATGCATAAAAACGTAATGGAACACGTTAAACGCACCAAAAACACATCTGCAAAAACACATCCGGAACACATCTGGACTGAGTTTCTAAGTGTGAACCAGCCCCAAGTGTGGGCACCCAGCTGTGACAGGTTGCAACTTCACAGCTGGGTGCCCACTGCGTGAGTAGCGATGCATCTTATGACTGGGTGAATGGTCCTGTAGTCTTCTGGGACCCATCACATGTCCCAGAAGACTACAGGGAGAGGGGAGGGGTGACAACACCCTCTTCCGATCACCTAGTTGCCAAAGATGCCAATTCCTCACAGGGAGCAGGGGACCAGTACTTAAAGCAGAACTTCCCCTTTGGGTGGAGCTCAGCTTTAAGCAAGCAGCTCAAGTAAAAAAAAATGTCATACTTGCCTGCTCTGTGCCATGGTTTGGCACAGAGCACCCCAATCCTCTTCTGGGGTCTCCCACCGACACTCCTGGCCCCTCCCCCCTGATTGTCTGCCCCCATAGGAAGCCACTTCCTTTGGAGGCACTCATGTGGTCTCAATCCTGAGCCTCCCTGTCTACAGAGACCAATCGGGACGGGGCAAATGGCAGTACATGTGCAGCAAAGCTGCAAGTCTGCTGTCAGAGTGCTGGAAGTGTGGTCAAAGCTATACTATCGGTGCTCAATGAAAGTGAAAACAGGCAGCAATCCAGGAGGTGACATACCTCCTGAGACCACCTTTTGTAACCCAGCATTTTTAACTTTTCCTTTTTTGTAACTAAAATAAAAAAAAAAAAATCTCGATCCCACTCAGGCCCATATTAGATTGAGCAGCCAAAATGTACAAACTGCTGAAATCTAAAACAGCACATCATATTCTAAGTGTAAAAAAACCCAAGTCATTTATTGACAATTCATATTGAATCAGTACAGGTTTTTCCTGATCTGGCCATTGCAGACAGATGAGGAATGTATTTGTAGTTGTAGTCTTCTGACTATAGAAGGCTGAGCCTTCATGCGGACAATTCAACTGACCAAAAATTGTTTTTTTTTCCCTGCCAAACCACATTTTTCCCCCAGTATTTTTGCCCCCTCCACTCTCCTCTTATGGAGGTTCACAAAATTTGTGATGTGTTAGTTTTCATTCTAATGCTGTGACTTTTCAATGTAGTCCTGACTGAGATCAGTCCCATCAGAAAGCGGACACTGAAAAGTCCCCGTCACTACCTACATTGACTAGGAACCCTTCTGTGCACCTCTCTAAAGTTGATAGCGCTTCCAGGGTGTAACAGGCTTACCCATGAAATTTGTCTCTTTACTAACCACTCATCTCCAATAAGTGACCGGGAAGACTGGCCATACATTATACACATTTCATATTCAATTTCCTTAACCTTCCCACATACAAATAGTTTAGATTTGACCTCATATGGTTGTGGTGAATCTAAAGGAAAGATGATTGTATAATGTATAGCAAGTCTAGGTAACAAGAGTGCTCTCATGGGGCAGAGGTTACAGCGGCTGACCCTAGACCTTGGATAATTCCCTTACCCAAGCAGGAAGCCTCCCCCAATCAGGTGCTTATTTGCCCCCATGCTCACAGGGAGAGGTAGCCTCCTCAAATATTTACAGCCTGTTTAGTAGTCTCTGCTGCCATTAAGTCTTTCACACCTTTTGAAAGTGTTTTTTGCTGTAAAAAAAAGCACCTAAAAAGCTCAAGAAAAATGCTTCCCTATGTATGTGAATGTACATTATGTGTTTTCACACTGGGGCATTGCTCTTGCAGTGTAAAAACTCCTGCTTGCAGCATCTTTGGTGAGTTAAAGACACCCCCAAAAATGCCCCTTCCCATTGAAATCAATGGAAATCGCCTCTGCGAAGTGTTTTTAGTGCAGTTTTTAAGTCATGTGTCCTTTAACAATGCTCAAAGCGCAGCAAAAATCACGGTAAAAAATGCCTATGCGTTTTTGTGGCTGATCAGTATTAATTTTCAGGTAGGCTACTTTCACACTGAACATTCGACATCTCTACTATGACAGCCTCATTCTGGCCTATGGTGAATCACTGCTTAGACACAACCAAAGAAGAGTTCGAAGGACATGATGGGCATCCTCAGGCCTGAAGGAAAAATGCAATGCCCTTATATGAAGGAACACCACACTACGCTTACTCTCCTCCCGATGCTCATATAGCACCTTCCATGCCGACATCTTCCTGCTGTAATTGGGAGTCAGCTGTCTTCCACATTCTTGTAGTTAGAACCCTGACTAGGTGCTGGAAGATGAATGAAGATGTTGATGAATGAAGAGCAGCTGATGCCCCTCTTGGGATATATGATATAGGTATCACATCATTCTCACTTAGGAAAGAATGGAGACAAGGGGGCAGGCTGACCATAAGGAAAAAATAAAAAAGAAAGTGTTTACACCTTAACACACATTTAAGCCTGGATGCATCTGGCAGCAAGCTCCAGTGCTGATCACAGCTTTAACTACCCCAGTGTACATGATCCATTAGACCACAGAGTACAACACTGCAAACCTTTTTGGGTGAAGACCCTTCTTGGCTAGGCTGACATATGCATGGGTTGGGAACATGTGCATAATTGTGTGCATTTCTGACCTGCATACAAACAGGCTGCTCTTAATAGCACCTCCACGCATCAGCACATGCATTTGTTTTTGCACACTGCACTTTAAAAAGGTAGATGGTTTCTCACACAAATACACATAACACACACATGTACACCTAGTCTAAGTGGGCTTCAATGGCTGGGAGCTGGTGCAGCTTCTGTATCACGTGACTGCAGTGACTGGCCCTCACAATGGTCACATAGTGAACCCATCGTGTCAGAAGCCTTGAGCGAGGGCGGTCATCAAGGTTAAATCAACATGGTAGCCATACAAAAGGGTACACATGCCATAAATGTACCATAGGCTTTATTTGGCAGTAGTACAGTCCAAAGTGAACAGGCCCAAGGGGCAACAGCCCAACAATGGTGTGCAATGCATCCTTCCAAGGGTGAAAGCATTCCAGAGGCAACATATTGCCACCATAGCCATCACCCATCCTTTGAGTGGCATCAAGACAAGAAATATGTCACCAGTACACCAGGAACTCCATAAGGGTCCAATGCCTTATTTATTGATCACATCACTGGAGAAGATGGCTATATTTTGGAGCCACAATGGACCCCTTCATCAGGTGTGGGTCTCATCTCTGATAAAGGTCTCTTGTGTGGCTCTACAACATTGCCATCTCCTCCTGTGATGAGATCAATAAAGTACTGGACCATTTATGGAGTACCTGGTGTGCTGGTGACCATTCTTGCCTTGAATTCCTTCTGGTCTCCAGCCAGTGGACACCACAGCACCCACCCACTCTTCAGGAACGTGTGCATTGGGGATATTGCCTTGGCCTCCCGATCGGCACTCACCCATCCCTAAGGGCCGACTGACCCATGTTCAGAGAACCTTCTGTTCGGCCCTTTAAAGTTTTCATTTGAATGTTTGCTACTACTACCACCATCTGAACCCGTGGTGGCTCTGCCCAGGGCTTCCACTCCCATTGCAGCCTAGCCCCTCAGGTTTGGTCCCAATGCTCAGGCGCCATCCATTTTCAGGACTAGATATTCGGTAGGCAAGTTATCACACGCTCCTCACCAGAGTTAGGCTTCCATAGCAGCTCGCCTGCCTTTTACGTGCCTCTAAAAAGCAAGTCACTGTTGATCACTTTTCAGGTGAGCAGCAACAGCTGCAAGTGTAAACAAGGCCTTACATTAGTCTGATCCTGAACCTTCTACTGGGCGAGGCCATCATCGGAGGCAGTGTTCCGGAACAAAGTCCAAACTGGCGCCATACAACTCCCACCCCCATCTTATGAAGCAGACCGCCCCAGGGGCCACACAACACTCAGCACTGGAACCAGAGATGTAGTTGGGCCCTCAGACATAAGTATTGTTTATATGGCAAAGGTTATGTATGAGCAGACTCCTGAAGAATGTGATGACTCATGGAGGGCACCATGATAAGGACCCCATACACAGCACATAGGAAACTCCCATTCACTAATCCCCTCCCCCATGTGGGTCAGAGCAGGGTCTGAGACAATGAACCTTCACAGGAGAAAGCCACCCCTCCCCCACACCTGTTTACTTCTTCCCCGAACAATGAACACAGCAATGGCTGGACACCCGGAAGTGACCCGAGGAATGAGATGAGCCCAGACACCCAGAGTAGAGCCCCCCACCCCGGGCACAGCCAGCACAGGCTCCAGGAGCGGAGGTGGCGGAAACAGACATGCGCGCGGCGCCCCTTACTCTAGGTAGAGTACACAAGGTGAGCAGTGCGGGGGACAGCACGCAGCTCTATCCCACCGCCCGCACACCTCCAGATACTTTACAATATGTGAACCAATGACTCTTACCAGCTGCGAGCGCACACACCAACACCAACACCACTACAACCCTCATAGTGAATCCTGCTGGACGCCAATCACCAGAATAACCGGCCGACCTCGCAGCGTCCTGATAACAGCTCTCTGGTCACGCCCAGACACGCCCTCAGTCAGCTGAATTCGGAGATCCCCTTGCAGGCGCCGCCACGCCCAGAAACGCCTCCAGTCAGCTGAGTATTACTCAACAGCTTCTAGAGGAAGCGGAAAAGGGTGGTGGGGAACAGGAAGTGGAGAAGAAGCCATGCTGGGTTAGGGCAGCTTGATGGATGAGGGAGGAAGAAGCCATGTTTAGTAAGGGCAAGTTATATATAGACGTCATGGGAAAATTCTGCACTTTGGATGGTTTCCAAGCATGTGACCTGGTTGTTATATTACATTGAGGACTGTATGAGCTGTATGCTGGTTCTGACCTGACAGAATTAGTAACACTTTTTTTTTGTTTAAGTGGAGTTCCACTCACCCTGTCAAAAAATAAAAAGCAGCTACAAAAACTACGGCTACAAAAACTGCAGCCACTTTCCTGTCCCTCGGTACTGTGGTGTGTCCCTCGCAGGCCATTTCACCAGCTGTCCTGTGTTCCAGGAGGCCGGCATCTTCAGTGTGGGAACCCGGCTGTGATAGCTTGCAGCTTCACAGCCGGGTACCCACTGCGCATGCGCAAGTAGCGCTGCGCTTCATGAATGGTCCTGCAGTCTTCTGGGACCTGTCACGTGTCCCAAAAGACTACAGGGAAGGAGGACACCTTCCGTTTCCGATTGCCTAGGCGATCGGACTGGAAATGGGAGCGGGTACCTGTCAAATTTGGGTACCCACTCTCCCTCTGCCCCCGAAAGGTGCCAATCCTTAATGGGGAGCGGGGGAGCAGTCCTTAAAGCGGAATGTCCCCTTTTGGGTGGAGCTCCGCTTTAAAGCAGACCTGAAGTTTAGCTGTAAAAACTGTGATCAGGCAAAATTTCTGTTGCAGAAGAGAATACAATGTGTCTTCTGAAATAAAATACTCTACCTGTCTTCTCTGTGCATGCATGGCTCAGCGTACAGCGCCGGCGCAGTCTCTGTGTGCTGGAATGACCGCCTACTGCGCATGCAGGATTGACATCATCCCATGCCAGCCAATGAAGGGCTGGAGACACAGAAGAAGATGCTGGCAGCAGCGAGGGACGGGACCGTTCAAGCAAAGATACGTTTTGGCCCCCTTTAGTTACATTATAAAGAAGAACTCCGGGATAGGCAAAACAAATCACCCATTAATAAACCCCCTATACAAAACAGTAAACACTTAATGCATTTGTGACATTTCGTATCATTGAAAAGAAAAGTCTAACTGAATGTTCATGACCTCATCTCTGTAATTCACAAGAGAACAGTATCTGCTCTGCCAACGAGGAGGTGGAACAGCCGGGATTACATCATATCCTTTCCTCTCTCTCTGCAGTAAAAGGAAACTAAAGTTCCCATCAACCACGGGATTGTAGTGAATGTGGGTGGGTACACTAGGCATGTACATGTTTAAAGCGGAGCTTCACCCAAAAGGGGAAGTTCCGTTTTAAGGACTGCTCCCCCACTCCCCATTAAGGATTGGCACCTTTGGGGAGCGGGTACCCGAATTTGACAGGTACCCGCTCCCACTTCCAGTCCGATTGCCTAGGCGATCGGAAGCGGAAGGTGTCCTCCCTCCCTGTAGTCTTTTGGGACACGTGACAGGTCCCAGAAGACTACAGGACCATCCACAAAGCGCAGCGCTACTTGCGCATGTGCAAAGCTATCACAGCTGGGTGCCCACACTGAAGATGCCGGCCTCCTAGAATGCAGAACGGCTGGTGAAACGAGACACACCATGGAACCGAGGGACAGGTAAGTGGCTGTTGTGTAAAAGTCAGCAGCTACAGTTTTTGTAGCTGCTGACTTTTATTTTTTGATAGGTTTAGTGGAACTCCGCTTTAATGTGTCTGAGAGTATCAGTCCACCAACCACTGCAAGTGGGGCAGAATTACATCACAGCTTCCTGGAGAAAGAACTACAGAAAGGATGCGCCCAGACCACTAGCTGGGGGGATAAGAGGCATAGCAGCCATTGATCTTACAAACAGGAAACCAAAGAAAAGGAACGGTTTGATTTGAAAATTAATAGGCTATTTCAGATGAACTACTGACTGAACCAGAAGATGGATGACATATTCTGTAAAGGGAGGAAATCAGCAACAAGGACATGCAAAGACGTTTTTGCCCGGAGTTCTGCTTTAAAGTGTATCTAACACCACTATTTTTTAGCTTTGGATAGCAACCACTGTCCCTGGTGCTAAAAGTGAAGGAAAATACCAACATTGTAAGTTGTCACCAGACCAGGAATAGAGGGAAAAATCTTCCAATTGGGACAATTAAAGATGATTTCCCATTTCATTTGAAGCAGAGTTGCCTTTCGCTTCTTGTTGTGTGCACAGCATTGGCTTCAAATGTACTTTTTCTTCACCACATAAAAAAATAAAAGGCCTGTCAGGATGGGTTCGAGGGGGTACGTGGGAGAGCTTAGAGTAAAAGTATAACTAAAGGCAAAACTTTTTTTTTTGTTTCGGATAGAGTGAAGAGGAATTAGAACTGTCTGTTTTTATTTCTGTCTGTAGAGATTCCTCTTTGTTTGTCCTGTTTACCGTTATGATTGAAAGTAAAAAAAAAAAAATCCCAAATTTTTGTTGTCCCCCAATGGGGACACTAGTTCTGGTGACCTGGGGGTCCCCAAGGAATTTCCTTAATTTGCAGGGATTTCCTCTTACTTCCTGCTTGGCTATGGGACAGGAAGTGAAGGGAAATCTCCGCAATGGGACACAGATGGCGAAAACAATTTTGGCAGAGGTTATTAACCTCCTTTTGCTGTATCCAAAATGAAAAAAACTTTAATCATTTGCTTGGAGAGGGGCTTTAAATCTTCTACCTGGGTTTTTCTGGTGCTGGTCTTCAGCTGTTTTGATTTGCCAGCACAGGAAGACATTACCAGCGCATGCATGGAAGTGCTGTCATTGTGTGCTGGAATGTACATTCATCTGTGCATGCGCAGCTCAGTGTACATCCCACCGAAGATTGTGAACAGGCAGGTATGTGAACTTATTTAGTTTTGCTTTAAGGCCAAAAATTTATTTTATTGCAGCTTACCAATTGTTAAATGTGGTGGCTATATTAGTTTTCTTCCTTTAGTGCCAGGTCATACCGGTGTGATTTGCGAATTGAAATCACACCTGAAATCACATCTAATGAATGTGAATGTCAGTGTCTTAACATGTGCGATTTGCTGCAGCATGATTTCTAATGTAGTTCTTGCAGTTTTCTACAGTTTGTTGCGAGTTAACACACATAGAACATAATGGAAATCACGCTGCAAATTGCAAGAAATCATTGAAAATCTTCACAAGTAGCAAAAAAGACTTCAGAAATTGTGCAGAAAATTGCACACAAAACACGCAATTTTAAATCACAGCAGTGTGACCAGTGACTTAAAGTGGAATTTAACCCATCTCTTTAACGGTTTTTAAAAAAGATTCACATTCCAGGCATGCTGAGAATATAACTGTCACATGTGTTTGGGCTCTCAACCAAACTGTCAAATGGCTGGTGTCATAACTGGTCACGTGCAGCACCATGGCAGTTGTAGATCAAACAGAGGCCAAGATGGCAGCTTCCTTGGATGAAAAGGAGAGGACAGTTTAGTACTGCTTTAACAGACCAACCTGTTTAGCAAAAGTGGCAGTTAATGGGTTGAAGTAAACCACTAAAGTCCCACTTTAAAAAAAACTGTGAGCTGGTAGGGTTTTTACCCGTGCAATGTCTCTTCTGCAATAAACGAAACCTGAGAACGCCTGCAGCTCGGCACTGAGAAGAAGCTGGGTAGAAGATGCTGGATCTGGTGAAGGACGTCAGATCTTAGTTACATAGTTATTCTGCCTGAAAAAAGACAAAAGTCCATCCAGTTCAACCATTAAAAAAAAAGTTATAATCCTACACCCACAGCTGATCCAGAGGAAGGCAAAAACACCTAGCAAAGCATGATCCAATTTGCTCCTGCAGGTAAAAAAAATTCCCTCCTGATCCCCCGAAAGGCAATCGGATATTCCCTGGATCAAATTTACCTATAAATGTTAGTATCCAGTTATATTTTGTGTATTTAAGAAAGAATCAAGGCCTTTTTTAAAGCAATCCACTGAGCTGGCCAGAATCAACTCTTGAGGGAGTCTAGTCCATATTTTCACAGCTCTCACTGTGAAGAAACCTTTCCGTGTTTGGAGATTAAATTTCTTCCATAGAAATCTCATAGATCATAGAAGGGAGGTTAGTATTTCAGAGTTCAGCTCATCTTTAACACTGACAGGGATGCTTACAATGGTCAGCTGTTATTTGTTTGTGTAAAACCTTTATCCCAAAAAGAAAAATAAGTTTGCTGTAATGGCTTATAAGGAGTTAGCTGGAGTTTGTCTTCAGTTTGTTATTCAAGTCCATCTTAGTCTAACTCTCCCCTCTCTCCAGACTGATGATTCTGCTGTCCAAGGATGTTTTCATTGCTCTCCCATCCAGAGTGGAAAACAAAGCATATTCCTGGTGATTTGACGTATTTATCTCAGGCGTATCACAGGTGTTTTTGCACGTTTATCAAACTTCAGGAGTTTGTGTCCTTGGCTGGGAAGGGCAGGGGAGCAGTTCTGTAGAGGAACAGGAAGATTCTTCTGGTGTACAAATGTGAAAATGCACTTATTGCATGTTTTACAGGCGTTGCCATTAAAATCTTTGGGTTAAATACCTGAATATACAAAAAAAAAACAAAAAAAAAAAACAAAAAAAAAAACAAACCTCATGTATTTTTTTGAGCATTGGGAGCAGAGTGTAGGACAACAGATTGTACAAGTGTTAACAGGGACAATTAGTAGTCAGGTGTAGGGAAACAAGAAGTAAAAAGCTCAAGGGTGAATGGAGTTAAGACAGGAACTATACATACCTTTCCAGGTATCTTAATTTGCTGCTTCCTAGCTGCTGCATGTATTCCAAACTTCCAGGTATGTAAATACATGATGTAGGCCTGTATTTCAGTACAGGAT